AGAGAAAATGCCATACCTCTACTCACGCTAATACATAAAAATGTTCAAAACACTGATAAAAGACAACTCTTATGTACAGCAGCCATCAATTATGTTTTATCAATATCTAATTTAAATGCACTGTTGTCAGAGAAGACTCCGTACAACCCGGACTCCTGACATCTGACTCACTATACATGACGTTCATTCTGTGGGCCAATTTGACTGAGCTAAGGGACACTGGATGACATTATTTCTGGTATGTCTGTGAGGGTATTTCCAGAAGAGATTCACATTTGAAGCAACAGACTGAATAAAGATCTGCCCTCACTAGCATGGGCATTATCAAATCCATCCAAAAAGGATCAGGAAAGAGAATCCTCTCTCTGTGAGCCCAGGCATCTGTCTTCTGGTGCCCTGGAACACTGGAGCTCCTGGTTCTTGGGCCTTCAGTCCAACATCTCCACCCCCAGGTTCTCAGGCCTTGGGCAGGGAGCTGGGCCATCAGCTCCACTGGTTCCCAGGCCTTTAAACTCAAGACTAAATCTCACCACCAGCTTTCCTTGTTCTCCAGCCTGCAGAAGGTATACAATGGGATTTCACAGCCTCCATGATCATGTCAGCCAATTCCAATAAATCTCCTCTTACAGATCCAGATCTATCCTCTTGGTTCTATTTCTCTGGAGAACCCTCGTTAATGCACTTTATTAGAATGCTGTTTGCAATAAAGCCAACCTTTGCCTGATACTAACAGTTGTATCTACATTCTTCTGGTTACTGTTTTCCTGATACATACTTATGAACTCACAAAGCAAGTGAGAACAGACGCAGGAGGCTGGGTGGCTCCACTGGAGTCAGGAAGATGATGGCAGGAGACAGCAGTGCCAGAGAGTATGAGGTGAGCGGGGGTTGCCAGTGGAGGGACAAGGAATAATTACAAAGATCTGGCTTTTGTTCTGAGTAACATGGTTTTGAACAGAGACATAAATAACAATATCTGATTTATTTTTAATAGATTGGCCTTAGCAAGGTTAAACAAAACATGGTATCTGAAAGAAAAATTTGCAACATACAGCAGAAAAATACATTAAGAATTCCCTTAAATTCCAAAGCTTTAAACCAGGGGTCCTCAAACTTTTTAAATAGGGGGCCAGTTCACTGTCCCTCAGACCACTGGAGGGCCAAGCTGCAGGCCTGGGACAGTCACCTGCTAAGCAGGACAGGCAGTGGCGGCAAAAACACCTAGCGGGCCAGATAAATGTCCTCGGCTGGCCGCATGTGGCCCACAGGCCGTAGTTTGAGGACCCCTGCAAACCTTTAAAAGCCAAAGATATAAAAAACAGAAATATGATTTTTAAAATTTTAAAAAGTGAATTCATATTTCAACTCAAATAATTTAAAGAGGGCCAAGCACAGGGGCTCACATCTATAACTCTAGCACTTTGGGAGGTCGAGGAAGGAGGATTACTTCAGGTCAAGAGTTCAAGACCATCCTGAGCAAGAGTGAAACCCTGTCTCTACTAAAAACAGAAAAAAGAGCCATGCATGGTGGCACCTATAGTCCTAGCTGCTTGGGAGACTGAGGCAAGAAAGATCACTTGGGCCCAGGAGTCTGTGGTTGCTGTGAGCTATGACACCATAGCATAGAGCAACAGAGTGAGAGACTCTGCCTCAAAAATAAATAAATGAATGAATAAAATAAAACAAGTATTTTAAAAAGGAAATAATCTTGAGAAAAGCCTTTAATTTCTTTCTTTTTTTAAAACAGAGTCTCAGGCTGTCATAGCAGGTAGAGTGCCATGGCGTCACATCTCACAGCAACCACAAACTCTTGGGCTAAACCGATTCTCTTGCCTCAGCCTCCCAAGTAGCTGGGACTACAGGCACCTGCCACAATTCCTAGTTATTTTTTGGTTGCATTTGTCATTGTTGCTTTGCAGGCCCAGGCCGGGTTCAAACTCGCCACCCTAAGTGTACGTGGCCGGCGCCCTGCCAAATGAGCCGCAGGCACCGCCAAGCCATTTAATTTCATAGTTTCTCCTCAAATATTAACTTCATTTTTTCCAATTTCTTAATGGTGGTAAATATATATAACATAAAACTTACCATCTTAAATATTTTTAAAGTGCACGGTTCAGTGGAATTAAGTACATTCCCACTGCTGTGAAGCAATCACCACCATCCATCCCAGAACCTGTCTGTCTTCCCAAACTCTGTCCCCATAAAATACTAACTCCCCATTCACTACCCTTTGCCCCGTAACCACCCGTCTATTTCTGTGAGTACTCTGTGCTGCGAGTGGAATTACAGCACTGGCCCTCCTGTGACTGGCTTGTCTCACTCAGCAGATTGCTGTTAAGGTTCCTCCATGCTGCAGCAGGTATGCAAAACCCCTTCCTTTTAAAGGCAGAGTGACTGATATTCTACTGTATGGCCGGGCACATTTTGCTCATCTGTTTGTCGGTCAGTGGACGCTCAGGGGTTCTGAGTTGGGGTTCCGTCCCTGCTGGGCTGCTGCTATGGAACTCAATGCCAAATACCTCCGGGAGAAGCTGCAGCAGACCCTGAAGGCAGAGCACAGGGAGGTGGAAGACAACTCTCAACGCCTACACGTGCAGCTTCCAAGTCCTGGCAGTGTGCGAGGGAAGGAAAAGCTGCTGCTTCAGAGACACAGGCTGGTGGGCTGCCCAGAGGAGAGCTCCTGCACATTGTGCTTTTGAGCAGAAAACCCTGATCCCAGAGCAGTGGGCCCATGAGCAACAGCAAGGAGGGACTAGCAGGGGTCCTCAAACTTTTTAAACAGGGGGCCAGCTCACTGTTCCTCAGACCACTGCAGGGCCAGGCTGCAGGCCTGGGATAAGTCAGCTGCTAAGCAGGACAGGCAGCAGCGGCAAAAACACCCGGCAGGCCAGATAAATGTCCTCAGCAGGCCGCATGTGGCCAGTGGACCATAGTTTGAGGAGCGCTGGAGACTACAACCTGCACAGCCATTAAGTTATAAATGAGGGGGAAAAGATGGACACTTAGATTGCTTCTACATTTTGACTACTGTGAATACCATTGCTACAAACCTAGGTGTGCAAAGCTCCTTAAGTCCAGACTTTCAATCCCTTCAGATGTATCTCCAGATGTGGAGCTGCTTGGTCATATGGTGATTCTGTTGAACTTTCTGAGGAAGCACCATACTGTTTTCCACACTGGCTGCACCATTTTACATTCCCACCAGTAGTACACAAGAGTTTCAATTCCTCTACATCTTTGCCAACGTGTATTTCCTGGGGTTTTTTGATGGTAGCCATTCTAATGGGTGTGAGTTAGTACCTCAGTGTGGTTCAGATGTCTATGTCTCTAATGCCTAATGAAGCTGAGCATCTTATCATGTTATTTTTGCACAT